GAGGGGATCTGATTGAAAAGTGTAAGATTATAAAGGGAATTGATAGTGTTGATGCATCATCTTTTTTTCATACATAACAGTAAGAATAGTAGGACTAGGGGACACAAATATAAACTTTGGCAGGGTAGGAGTAATTATCAGCTAAGACGGTTTTATTTTTCTAACAGGGTGGTTGGCCTTTAGAATTGGTTGCATTCGGATGTTGTGGAGGAAGTAAATTTAAGTGAGTTTAAGAGAAAGCTTGATAAGTATATGAATGATATTGGCTGTCTTTAAGATTTTTTTAACTTATTTAAAAATATTTTTAGTTTGGCTTAGAGGATAGGACAATAGGTCCCATATTGTCCCAAAATATCATATTATGTTAACTTTCAGAAACCAAAATCATGTGCATAATGCTTTATCTGTACCATTGTTTATTTTTCACTACTGCATGAATATACAGCAACCACATGTAATGCTTCATACAGCATGTTTTACACAGAATCTTACACATCTTGACATGTTTCCAATCTCTCTTTAGTGAGTTTATATTTTTTGACTACTTCTGTTCATTCCCATAGTTAAAAAGATAGTGGCAATGTATTGATTTCAGATGGTTTCTTCAATTTACAAAAATTTCATTTTTTTTAAAATAATGTTGTTGTTAGTTTGATACTAAGAGGGGGAAGTCAAGTTAGGTTCACACCTGTAAATTAAATTTTAGTAGTGTGTTAGCACTTGTTTCTAATTCTTTTGTGAAATTAAATTTTATCACTATATACTTCTTCACATAAACATTATATACAAACTCAAGAACAATAGCATTATTATATGACTGATGGATTTTGTTTATTTGATTGAAGTTGAGCACAAAGCTATACAATGGGCTGTCTGTGCTCTGCCCACCATGGGTAAGTCTGCAGACATACCGCTGTGCCACTGGGGGCATGACTGATGGGGGAATTCATGTAATTCTCTCAATGTTGGAAAAACTTCTTATGGGCAACTGAAAAGAAATCCTATACCAAGACTTTTCACTTCTTCAGCAAAGTCTCCTTGATTTTACCAGTTGAGGAAGTTTGATTAAAGGAGTGATAAACTGAGGAAGCTTCATTTAAAAAGTAAAACATTTTGGTATATAGGATTTCTTTTCAGTTTCTCAACAGAAGCTGAAGTTTTTTGGGAAATGGCTCTGAAATCATTCTTTGTAAACAGTTTTATTTAATGGCTTTTATCCTGTAATTATTCTTTGCACTATTTACCTAATTACCATTAGAAAAAAATAGTTTCTTTACAGATGTTTTTTACTAAGTGGCGTATATCCAAAATATTATAATATTTAGGTATGAAATTTGTTACTCATAATAATGAACTAATTATTTGACAAAAGTCTGTGTTTGGGTGTACTTATACTTATAACTGGTGAGCCACAAGACCACTTGTCACCAAACCTGTCATGTACACTTAGAGTCACCTGGGAAGTAACATAGGGGTTTGACACTTGGATCTGTTCCTTGAAGGGTTTCTGTATCACACCCATGCATTGAATGGGTTGCAGCTAGTATCAATTAATTGAATTTATGAGTTTCATTGATATTGCACAAATGGAATGAATTATAATCAGGTCATTTCATAAACAGTCAGCATTTTCTCAAACTAAGTAACTATTCTGTACACGGTGATATTTTTTTAAAAATACTAAGTGAAAATTAAGATTACATTAGATATAAACTGTGACTCCACCAATCATAAAGATGCTTTATGCATCTGCCTATTGGGGTGCCAAATACTTGATAGCACCAGTGTAAGAAGGAACACAGCCTTAATTTCTGTGTAAAGCACCAATTAAACTATCACTGGTTCTGTCTTAACTCACCACATTTTAAGATGTTCTTATTTTCAGTTTTCACCTTATTGTCATTAAATATGTTTTTTAATGATAAAATGGAGAATGTCTGGTGAAATAAATCTTTATTGTACACAGTAATGATACTTGTTTTTCATTATTCTATAAGAAAGAATATAGATATTTAAGTAAAATAATTTTCCTTCATAGGAGAGTCCATAGGTAAACTTTATCTTGATGACAGATTCATAATAAAGTAATCCTAGCAATTTTCACCAAGCTATTTGAAACTGACATTAATCTTAAAATCTGATAGTCAGTAACACAAAGCACTCTGATATGGTTCAAAACTTTAGATTTAATTGTATGGCTTTGCTGAATAAATGTCACAATGATGTACATACAGCCTCGTTTAAAATGAAAGCTATTCATATCTATTTCTGTAAATAAAACGTTTTATGGGTAAAAAAAATTAGTATTTTGTCATAGCAAATATTCTTGAAACCTAAGTAAAAAAGCACAGTAAGTAACAATAAGTAACAATTCATTGTAATTTTTTACTAGTATTTAATTGCTAACTATCTAACTTGTATTTATTTTGTGACATAAATCAGGACAACTAAAAATAATTCGGTTCAAGTTTATCATATATACATGTTGTTCAGCAATATGTTGTTTTTTAGATTAAATACTGTATTTGCTAATTAAAAATCGATATGAAGTACATTAAATTTTTATTCATCATCTCTATTCTACAGGTAATGTCACACCTGCACACTTTGACAATCAGCACAATTTGTTTGCACAAATATATGGCTATAAGAGGTTTATTTTATTTCCTCCTGAAGATTATGACAAACTTTATCCACACCCTGTATGGCATCCTCATGACAGACAAAGTCAAGTAAGTGTGCAAATTTCATATGTTAATTGCATGACAGTTGAAAAGTATAAGCATTCGAAACCTTACACTTCAGTGTAAGATTAATATTTTGTCAAGAAAATGGAAAAACTAACACTGTTCAACTTTCTCTGGAACATAGGTAAAATATGTGATTTTATTTTTCTGTAGTGGTGCCAGTCTTTGTTTAAGTTTGAAATTTCAAAGTAATATTCATTGAATAAACAATGTCACATTCTTTTTACATCACATTCAAGCAGCTTAATTAATATAATATGCAAAATATGACTATATAATGGCAAAGGTTATATAGTATCTTATACCATTTATTCACAATAGCATCATTGATCACAATCCAAATATAAGGAAAGAACTGATCTTGGTGCAAGTTAATATAAAAAAAAAACATTTATTTACACATATGAAAGAACTTGAATTGGTATTAGTCAATCTCAGTTGCAAAATTTTGTATTGCAAGCAGTGTGTGCTATATAAAATAAAAAAAATAATGTCAAGCCAAGAATATAAATGAGCACATGTTTCATGCTCTTGGTGTCTGTTCTTTGAAGCTTGATACAAGACATTTAGGTGCTTAAGAGTAACAGTCTTTTATTTTCTCAAATGGGAAATTACCATTACTTGATATTTGGTTTAGGTGACAATGATGTAATAATTATTACATCATCTAAAAACCTAGTCTTTTAAAACTTGGAAATACAGAACTGGTTTGATTAGAGAACTACAGTTGACACATCTGTTATGATTATATTTCTATTGTACTGTTGCGTCATCGAGGTCACGTGACTGGTGTGGCGCCCTCTAGTTTCTAGAACTATCTTGTTCCGTCATGAATGCTCTAGTATTTACTAGATATAGGGTAGTCAGGTATATAAAAGAGGGTGACAACGTGACGGGGGGAATAGATTGTAATGTGTGTGTAGACAGTGAGTAATTGAACTGCAGTCACAGGGTATTGTTGAAGTTAACGTTCGTTCGTGATACTGTTTGTTTAGCGCGATTGTTGAAGTTGAGTGTATCGGTAAAGTTATATTCGGAAAGAATAAACCAGTTTTATTAAGAAAGGACTTGTGTCGCTTAAGTTTCGTCGGAACGAAGTTACGGAAAATCAATTAACAAACGGAGATGTAACAAATTGGTGTCAGAAGTGGAACGGGAAAAAAATGGAAACGAGAGGCGGAAAATCAAACTACAGTTTAGCAGACTTGATGGCAGCAATACAAGAGCAGCAAAAGAAACAAGAAGAGAGACAACAGCAGCTGCAAGAAAACTTGCAACAGGGGCAGCTCGAACAACAAAATAAACAAGAAAAGAAACAAGAAGAACGAGAAATTAAACAAGAAGAGAAATTACGACAGTTGTTAGAGGAAAAAGAAAAGAAACAAGAAGAAAGACAACAGCAGCTGCAAGAAAACTTGCAACAGGGGCAGCTCAAACAACAAAATAAACAAGAAAAGAAACAAGAAGAACGAGAAATTAAACAAGAAGAGAAATTACGGCAGTTGTTAGAGGAAAAAGAAAAGAAACAAGAAGAGAGACAACAGCAGCTGCAAGAAAACTTGCAACAGGGGCAGCTCAAACAACAAAATAA